TTACTGTCTGAATTTTTGATTTAACTTTTTAATTGAGAAATAAGTTGAAAACCTGAAAAATTAAATGTAGAGATGTTTCAAAGAAAATTACTTTAAAAAGTGGGCTTTTAAGAAAATATAGCAAAAAGAATAAAAAACACACTTGAACACGAGATATTCCACCTGTCAACAAGTTCATAGGTTGAAACAAAAGCAGTCGACTCCCACAATTCCACTTGAATTAAATTTAGGACAAAAATGCAGACTGATTTTATTTATAACAAATAATTTAGGAATATAGGCCCTTTATAGTTAATATAGGATTTTTTTTAGAGGAACTTAAAAATGGTGATACCTTTTACCTAGGTACCTCTACTAATTTACTGAAAAAAAAAAAAAGCCTCTCATGATGAAAAATTTCCCAAACTTAGTTTTGTCAAAATCGGTATTTTTTGATTACTTAAATTTTTAATTAACTCTTTCTAGCACGTTTGAAATTTTGGTAAAATAATCTTGTTTTGCTTACATCAATCAGCAGGTTGATTAATATAATTTTTATATATATATATATATATATATATATATATATATATATATATATATATATATATATATATATATATATATATGTTATCTTTATTTTATGAAACTTTGGAGAAATTGATTTTTGTCCTCTTAATATTTATTAGTTAAAAACAATTCCTTTTATATATATATATATATATATATATATATATATAATTTTTTTTTTTTTTTTTTTTAAGCAATAAAAAAACTATTTAATTAGAAAGGCTTTTAATTGCTTTTATAAATAAGATGTATAAGGACACTTAGAAAAAGTACTTAAAAAAAATTATTCCAATGAATAACAAATTTTTACAAGAATTAAATTTTTTTTTAATTAGAATTCAGTGTTTTTTTTTAATTCTGTTAAAATCTTAATCTTGTATTAATTTAACCCTTTTAGATAAGTAAAAATTTCAATTTGCTAATCATAAATTGAAAAGCTTAGTACAAACAAATCAATATCCAATATTAAAATTTCAAATTAGTATGTATAAACGTCCCAATTTTTGTAGATCATACACATTATCAGAAAATAAGTGATAGCTATAGTAAATTTAAAGCCAAAGTATCTACAATTCAAGAATGTTTTCCCTAAACTTTTAAGGTTACTGATTACTTGTATAAGGTGCTCATGTTATCTTTAATTGTTTTACATTACGATCTGTCATGCTGTAAGCATGTCAACACCTTCAATAAGCAATTAGTCGGGTTAAAAAAGCAATTCTGCTATTTTAAACTTAAATATATTTCAAATCAGATTAATTAAACTTTAAAACTAGCTAATATTCCTCAAAGTTTCGGAAAAGTACATCTTATTTTGGGGATATTTTTAATAAAGAGAATTACATTACAGTAAATGTGGCCTTAAAAATGATGCTAAAAATTAAATTTTTGTTACCAAACTTCTTCCAGTCAATTTACATTAGTTTTGAAGTAGAGTAAAGTATTTTGCTTATTGGAAATATTAAATTTAATCTACTAAGTTGAAATTGAAACTGACAAAAAGCTTAAAGAAAGACTTCATTTTTAAAAATTCATTTTAAACTTTAGGTATTGCGAATCTGTGGCTAAATACTTGCAATGGGTAAAAGTATCACTATTTTAATAGTCAATTTTTAGCTTTTTATTATTTAATTCCATTTGTTTTTTTAAAAAGTTTGACATAATATCAATATTTTTAATTGTATTTTGGTAGGTATCACCAAAATGCATGCACATTTGACAAAGCACAAAACACTCTCCGGTTTTTAAGTTTACCAAGCATCAAAGAAATATCTGATTTATGGTGATTATTTTAGAAAGCTTTGGAAAGATTTGGGTTGTGGGGAATTAGTTTCACTTTCCCATTTTGGTATATTGTAGTTAGTGTAATGAAAAGAAAAAAAAACCTGAAAAGATATTTTAAATAACTGAAATGTCTTTTTATATAAATTTCCTGTATGGAAAAAAAAAAAAAAGTTACATATGTAAATAAAATTCTTAGAAATTTCTTTTTAAAACATTATCCTGTTCACTCATTGACTCCTCAAACTGCCATTATAGACGAAAAATGTAAACAATTTTAACTCCTTTTTAAAAATTCAATATTTACCCGAGATGTTTTGAAATCACTTAGTAAATTTAAGGATAAATTAGCTGTATTTTGAAAAGTAATGCTTGCTTTTTGCTTAAAACAGTGAATGTTTTACACATGGTAGCCTGTGAACTGTTATAGTTAAACAGCATTAGCTTTTTGCTGCCATCCTTCGCTCTTGAAATGCATGTGAAAAAGTAGCAGCAATGCAATAACAAAGTTGGTATTGTTTAAAAATAAGTTTACTTTTATATAATCAATAATTTTGTTCTATATGCTTTTATGGAATTTAGAATATTTTTATACTACATAGAAATATAAAAAATTAATCTAGTTAAATGATACTTTTTAGTGTAATTCTATGCTTTTATTTTTTGCTTGTTTTTCTCGCATTTAATGTCATGAAATATTTAGTTGTACCCAATGAGATCTTTAAATTCTGATTTTTAAAATTTAAAGAACTAAAAGAACTGCTTAAAAGGAAGTGTGTGTGTGTGGTGCTGTTAAATATTAAGATATATTAATCTCCTATGGGAAGTTGGAATCAAGGGAGGCAATTCGGAACTTTCCTATTTGAAAAAAAAATACAATGTAACAATTCTGAAAATAAAATTTATTTCTGATGCAAAAAATAGCATAAAACTTAATTTAAACCTTTTAGGTTTTAGTGCAATAATCTTAAAAACTTAGAATTCAGAATTTGAGAAAAGAAATCTTTGTATTAGCAATTAATAATCAGTTTTCTTACTTGAACTTGTTAATAGCCTTGTCAGTAATTCCTTGCTATTTGAAACTTACAAGTTTATTATCTTAAAATATTAAGTCTGAGAAAGATGCCATTAAAACTTGGTTTCCTAATGTTATTTATTTTTAGAAATTGCCTTAAAGTAGGAATGTCCATGGAAAATGAGTATAGCATAAGAACGGCCATAAACAGTTTTATTGTCAAAATGTTTGTTACAATTAAGAGGAAAGAAAGTATTTTCATTTTTTAAATATTTTTTAAACCCCCCACCCCCCACCATTGTTTTTCTTCAGTGGAAGTACTAAATAACAGCAAATTTTAGTGGATGTTTTTTAATGACATTAATTTTGAAAAACTTGCAAAAAGACAAATGCTGAATTTTAATTTTTTCTATTCACAAATGATGGAAATTATTTTTTTTAAATGTGTGTGTGTATATATATATATATATATATATATATATATATATATATATATATATATATATAATCCCCCATAAGTCTTTGTAGAAATTCAATGTTGGCACATTAGTCATATTAGTTAAAAGCACAAGGCTTTTTTTTTTTTTTTTTTTTTTTTTTAAGTCAGACCTCATCTACCTAAAATTCAAACTGAATTGTAACATACAAAACTCAATAAAACAAAGATATTATTTAGTTTCAAATGCTTTTAGTTATGAATATGCATAATATTGTCTGAAGTCAAAAAACTATATCGATGAAAAATGAATTTTTCAAAGAACTATTAAATTGTTGTTAAATATTGTAAAATTAGTGGAAATGGTGTTAAGTAGATCTATTTGTACAGATTATAAATTGTACAAGCTTTTTACAATCAATGAGCCATCAATTAGTAAAAATCTTACTGTTCCTTGCCTTTTGTGTCCATAAAACGGCTGTAATTCAAATGTACAGAAGCCCAGAAGAAACATAATACAATAAAAACGTCACGTGATTTGATTTTTGTATATAAAACTTGTTTGGTGCTGTTAACAGCCTTTAAATTTACATTGGGCGAAACAAAAATTTCACAAATTTCATGAAAATCTGATACCAGTTGCATTGAATTTCTAGACCTCTGTTCTTGGCTATGAAAAATAAAGTAAGTGTATATGATTGCAATTATTAAAGAAAAAAAAAAATTGCCGTTTCAAATATTGTCTTATTTAACAAAAGAAAAAAATGTATAGCATTTCAACTTATAAGGGTACCTACAAAGTATTATGTACCTATCTTATGAAATTTATGTTCTTAGTTTTATATTATCACAGTTATGTCATTTTTCCATAAATGAAATATCAAAATTAATAAAAAAAAAAAAAAGTGTAAATACAAATAATACTGTAAAATGTAATAAATGTACATAAAATGTACACTACTGATAACCTTTCATAAGAAAGGTAACTAATTGGGTATCTTATGAAATTTTATCTGACTGCTCGTCTTATTTAAAAAATTTTTATAGTACATTTTTCTGTAAAGCAACATAAAAGTGAAAGCTAAGTACTAAAAAAAAGAAAAAATAAGAGCGCTCAGTTTTCCTTAAAAATAATGAGGTAAATAAATCACTTAATTTTTCCTCACATAAGATGTCAGTATGTGATGAAATGATCACATTACTTGTCAATCAACACCACTGTTAAGACTGGCTTTCTCTTATTTTAAAGTTCATTTTTTCAGCACAGAAAGTAAATAATGTTTGTTTCAAAATATATTAAACTTTATAATTTCTAATTTTCCTACATTAAATTTTGAACAAAATTGATTTTTAAAAATTTTAAATGGAGAATTTCACTTTTGTAAACAAAGGTTAAAAAAAAAAAAATGACTGACTATAGATTTTGTCAAATTTGCCAATTCACAAAAAGATTTTTAACCAATTTCGGACGTGCTAGGAATGATTAATAAAAATGTAAATAAAAAAAAAAAAAAAATAAATATCAGTACTTTAATCTTTCCTCTTGATAATAACAAACATTTAAACTGAAAATATTTTCCAGATTAAGGCTTTTTTTTTTTTTTTTTTTTTTTTTTAATTTTTTTTTTTTTTTTTTTTTTTTTTTTTTTTTATATCTATCTCATAAACATACATATCTTAAAGCTTAGTTAATATTTTTTCTTTTTTTGTTTTATACAGGACTATCGTCACAATGCTGAAGCAGCTAAAGCTGCTCTTGATGGGATGCAACGCAAAGGACGTACTCTTCGTGTTCGCTATGCTTCTCTTGGATCTGCACTCAAAGTTAAGAATTTATCCCAGCATGTCTCTAATGAATTATTGCATCAAGCTTTCTCCCAGTTTGGTGAAGTTGAGCGTGCAGTAGTTATTGTAGATGACAGAGGTCGACCTACAGGAGAAGGAATTGTGGAATTTGCCCGAAAACCTGGTGCCCAAGCTGCATACAAGAGAATTACTGAAGGAGTGTTCCTGCTTACATCGTTAGTATTTTTGTTCAATGTTTTAGAATATCGCAAGAACTTTACTGATCTAAGTTATTTTGGATAATGTATTTTTTGTTTTTGTTTGTGTGGATAATTGAAATTTAAGTAATTTCCTTTCACAGAGCACCTCGTCCTGTAACTGTTGAACCCTTGGATCAGAAAGATGAAGAAGATGGTTTTCCAGAAAAGTTCATTAATAAAACTGATGGATATAAAAAGTAAGCTTCCTATGTTCATTTTCTCATAAATTCAAGAAATGAATTTAGTAAGTGGCAAGTCAAACACTAACATTTTTGTTCCTGAATTGAATTCATTTTTTTAATATTGGTTTTAGGAACACTTGAGTTGTTATATAACGAGCATTAGCGACTAAATGATAAACTGCATTTAAAATATAGATTTATCATTGATATAGGATATGTAAATTTTAAATAAAATTTTTATTTTAGAGACAGGGAATCTGAACCTAGGTTTGCACCTCCTGGTTCATTTGAATATGAATTTGGCTTACGCTGGAAAGAATTGGAAGAGCTTGAAAAGCAACAACATGAAAGTGTTAAAAAAGCCATGGAAGAAAGCCGCCTTAAATTGGAAGATGAAATGGAAAATGCTATGTTCGAACAGCAAGCTGAAATGATTCGTCAAGGTAAATAATGAAATTATTTACTCTCATGAAACATTCAAAATTGAATTTTTTGGAAATTAGCATTTCATCTACTATTAATTCTTTTAAAATTACTTTAGATTTACTGAGACAACAAGAAGAATTGAGACGACTTGAGGAAATGCGTCAACAGGAACAAATTCGCAGGCGGCAAGAACTAGAAATGAGGTAAGTCTCCCCTCCCTCTAGTTTACCCATGAGACGATTAGAAATAGTTGCTTCAGTAGTTGGGAAATTTTGAATGTTATTTATCTACAGGGTGTCCCAAAAGTCGTGCTACAATTGTCAAATGTACACTTTGGAAATAACAAGCAGAGGAAATTTGCATGACATCCTCTTCCATAATTAGACCAGTAAAATTTTCTAATGTATCTTCACATACAGAAACATTACTCAATTCGGTAAATAAATATGAAATTTAAAAAGCTTTCCAATAGTAGTGCAACTTTTTGGATAACCTGTACATTATATTTAACTGATAATGGTTGCTACAGTACTTTAAATCAGAATTTGCAAATTTGATTCCACTTAAAATAAATGCTTTCAGCTTAAGCTTGCTAAAAATGAATTCTTTCATCTTGATGAAAAACTTGGATATTTACAATTCTATATAGAAGCTATTTCTATTCAAGTTATAAAATGTAACCTTTCTGCAATTTCAATAAGGTAAGTTATTACTCAATTGATACTAGCCTAACCTATTAGGATTCTTTTCAATGATAGGAGACAAGATGAAGAAAGGCGTAGGCAAGAAGAAGACAGAAGACGTTCTGATCTTTTGATGAGATCTCAAGAAATCCGACGCAGGCAAATGGGACAAGATTCTATGGGTAGAGGGGATCGTCCGGGAGATATGATGGGAAGACAGGTAATATTTTTACATATGACAATTCTTGATTTGTTTGGCAGTCTTTAAATATTTGTGCAAAGGTCCATTTTAAAGTTGAATCATTTATTTTAGTCCCCTTTTTTATAATCGTATGTTGTATGTATGTATGTATTTTTTTTTTTTTCCTCTAATGAATTTCTGAGATTGGGAACTCCTTATACTCTAACTGGTGTCTGTAGTTGCAATACTTTTCAGTTACTTGTTGCAGTTTGAAACATTCTGTACCCATTTTTCAAACATCAGGTATTTTCATTCAGCTGTCCATGCAAAAGGATATTACACATCCATTAATTTGTCATGACTTTGAACCATCATGACTTGTGAAACTTTTTTTTTTACGCATAATATTCTTTAAAGGCTTATTCTATACTGGAGTGACTGGGGATGTTAGTTATTTCAACAGATTAGATGAAGGCTTCAGACTGCAACAAACTGAAGTGGGCCAGAAGAAACAATGATTGAAATTTTGTGATAAAAACAAAGATAAGAACTCTAGTCAGAAGTACACCAGTGTAACATGTTAGTTTTGTCTCAAGCTAATTCAGTTATACACAATTTTTGTATTGCTAATGTCCTTACTTTATGTTTAAAGGGAGGTAGTCCAGCAATGAATGACAATCAGCAGCGTGGCCGCAATGCTGGTACTGGTGCTCCTCCTCTCCCACCTCCACCACCTCCACCTGCTGGTATGGGATTGGATAGACCAGGTCAGAACCAGGTAATGGCCTCTCCTTCCAATTTATATTGTGCAGGAGTAACAGTTAAAATGGTTAAACTTTTTTCATGAATTCTCTGCATCAAATATATTGGTAATGTTTGCTGTTTGATGAACCAGTTGTCTATTTTGTAATATTAATGTAATTTAAAACCATTTATAACTTGTAAAAATAAGTGATACTCAAAAAAAAAAAAAAAAGAAAAAAGTGAACTACTGAAGTTGGTTATCAATCACTACTTAAACACATTGAATATTACAGATTTATATTAATTTGTTTCTGCTCACTGGTTTAATAGCTAAGTATTCTTTTTCTCAGATGCCTGGTGGTGGTAGCATGAGTGGCAATTATAATTATAACAACCAAGGAGGCCCAATGGGTGGACAGAATATGGGAGGTGGACCCGGTGGCAATACTGGTAACTCAAATAACATGGGTGGAGGCCCTTCTGGTGGTGGAATGACTGCAAACTCTATGGTGAGTATCATGATATTTTTTAAATTCATTAAAGTTTCAGTTAATATTTTAATTTTGTTAGATTTATGAAAAACTTTTTGTATTCAACAGGTGAAAATGAATCAAAATGTCCCCAACAGAATGGTGAGCAAAAATTAAATTTTCTTAAGTTGTTTCATAAATTTTGATTGTACCATATATAAGCTAGGAACAAAAAATGGCTTAGCTTGTATCTTGTTTTTCAGTTGTCTGTAGGACTTAGTCAATTGAATAATCTAGTTGATGGCCAAGAGTTGCTATTCAATTAATTCTAAGATAATTCTGAAGTCTGCTTTTTCATCGGCTCATTTTTTAATGCTGTAGCTTTTCTTGTTGCGTTTGAATAGCTCATGTGAAAGTCATAACTTTGTAAGTAAAATTCTGTTGCTGACCAAGTTACAAACTTGGTTAATAAAGGATTAGAATTCACTTAGCATGTTAATACTATTTTATACAATGTCTATACTTTAACACAGATATTGATGAACACTAATATCTGAATTCAAATGATTTGTTTGGTGGGGGAATGTGGTAAATGTCTTCACTGTAGAAAACTGATATATGCTGTAAAATCTGGTAAGCCTTGTGCTTTAATGCTACAATATAAAAACTAAAGCCTTAGTTTTGGTAATTGCATCCTTAAAAAAAAAACAAAAGAACTTATACACAATATGGAAATGCAGAACCAGGAACCAAGCATATATTTAGAATTTTTTCTTTTACAAAATGAATTTTGTGGCATTTGAAGTGTCATGTGTGACACCTAGTCACTGCAAGGATTCCATTCTTGACAAAGGCTTTTAAAACCCTTTTCCCAGATTGTGATTGAAGATGTCCTGATGTTTGTGCTGGAATCATGACGTTATAATTATTCTGATCACTGAGTGTATGGCACATCTTGATCTATTTTATCTACTTAACCTGATTTTTTAAAATTTTTTTTTTTCTTTTCTTAATATCTTCAAATTTTAGTAATTTGATAGCTAAATCTCTGGGTCAAATACAGAATGATTCATTTTAAATATCGTTTCTAGAAAAAACTCCTTAGGAGCTGATTTAGAAATGCTCTTTATACTTTTTGACTAAAATGTGCTTAATGTAGTTGTATTTCATTTTTTCACTTATACTTTAATTAGGTATGCTTCCGGACTTTACAAGATAGACACTTGACAAACTATTCAATCAAATAAAAAGGTTTAATACATTTTTATAATTTATATCCTGTAGATATGGAAAGTTTCTCTATAGAAACAGTTGAATTTACACAACACAGGAAATGAACTGGAAAATGTTCAGTGCAAAAATATAAATCCACATTTAAAAATGTGCTTTCTGTAAATATTTTTAAGTTGTAGCATATACGATGAAGACATTGCTATTAAGATTTTCAAACATTTGATCACATTGTTTTTCTGTAGGAAAAATCATCCAACAATAGTATCTCTATATTTTGTAGTTTTGTTAACTGTATGTCATGAAAGCACCTTTCTTTTAAATTTATTAAAAGAATAAAATATTGGAGTTTCCAGATTGTTCAAATGATCTTAAAAAAAAAAAAAAGTGTAAATTATAGCCCAGGCAAGAAGTGTGATATTGCATCAATAGGCACATGCATTGTTTTAGCAAATACATAAAGGTTTTGTATTGGAGAAGGTCTCAGCCAACACATGATTTTTTAAAAGCTGACATGATCCCCAGTTGACTTTCAAATAACTTTTTCTTTCTTTCTACACAAGAAATTTCTGTAATATAATCATTAATAAGAAAAATGATTAAATCTGTTCTGGTGACGGCTGCTTTATATTTAGATTTTTGATGTGACTTTTCATTGGGTCATGTATTGGGAATGAATTGGTAGAGAATTTCGAAGCACTTTTGTCCAAGCTATGTTTGTGTCAATTGATTAAAAGGGGGGAAAAGCCCATGAGCATACTTCTATTAACATGTTTTTAATGTAAAAATATTTCTGTATGCACTCCAAAAACTCACTTGAATGTATTTTTTTGTTCTCACATTGTTCACCAGTTAGTAAAACATTAATACTTTTGTGGTATTAATTTGGTGTTTGAATATTAAGTAGGAGGAAAAAAAAAAAAAAATTGGTATTAGCTATTCTACAAATTTTTGTAATGGCTTAATAAGGAAGATAGTGTCATATATATATATATATATATATATATATATATATATATATATATATATACACCCATGCAAAAAAAATGTTTTAAGCAGTATTGTTACAAATTATAATTATTTGGATTTCTTGTGATGTAGGTTAGGTTATATCCCATTAGAATCAAAAGGGTTAAAGGAGTATAAATATTGACAACTTGTATATTGGCAGGGTAGGTATAACCATGCTCATAAAAAAATATCTGCTGAATACAGATTTTAACATTTTCTCATCTATATTGATGAATCAGACTGATTCCACATCTGATAAGTTTCAGATTTACTTAAGGATCTGTCATATTTCAATTAGTTTTTATAAACAAGTACCAAGGGTAATAAAAGTGATCTGAGGGTGTTTTTTTAATTTCAAGTTAAAATTCAATTTTAATATTGATAAGAAAAAAAAAAAAAAATCTTGCTTTATTTTAAAACTAAATAGCTCTTAGTGCCATTTTTTTAGCCATCTATCATCACAATACATTTTTTTTTTTTTTTTTTTTTTTTAGCTGATTTGAAATTTAAAATGTGTCTGAAATTTTTAACACTCTGGTAGCTGTCTATTTATGTTGACAGCTTGTTCATGTGTTTAATGTTTTCCTATGGTAGAGGTGGATATATCCAATAAGAATGATGGAAGAATATAACAATAGCACTTATATAATTTTTAAGTACTCGGTAATCTTAAAAATTTAGTTAAAATATTCTCCATAATGTTTTATTGATTTGTAGATGCTTTGGCTTTAAATTGACTAAATTATTGCTCTTATTTTCTGGTAATGTGTGTGATCACCTGTATCTACAAAAATCAGGACGTTTATACACATACTAAAAAAAAAAAATTCTTGGGGTCCGTAAATTGTCATAAGCTTTTCGATTTCTGATTAGTAAATAGTTTTACTTAATATTCCCTAACCATTACACCATATAAACTGAATTTAAAATAATTCACAAATTATTCTAATTAAAATTTAAAAAGAATGTTAAAAGAATTTTCTCAAGACAAGTGTCCTCAATATATCTTGTCCATAAAAAGCAATTAAAAGCTTTCTCTAATTTAATATCTTCTATTGTTTTTTTTATTTTATTTTACAATTTGGAACATTTTCAGTAAGACATGGTCTGATTTTTACAAAAATAATTTGATTTAAATTTCCCAAAATCTACTCTTAAATATATTCATCTCATTGAATTTCTTTAATTTTCATAAAATTAAGTGGGGTGTAACTTTTTTTTTCTTCTTTCAAATGATTTGTAATAAGTCCTGAAAGTTTCATTAAAATTTGACAATTGTTTGTTTTTTTTTAAATTTGCTATGCTAATTTATAGTCCATTTACTGATGTAAGAAAAATTTTATAACCAAAATTTTTGGAAAGGGCTAACATATAATTAAGTAATAAAAAAAAAAAAAAAAATACCTTGGTCATTCCTCTTAAAAATTCTGATAAAACTGAATTTTTATCAAGTTTGAGACTTCTTTTTTTTATTTAGGGAATTGGTAGTGATACCTATAATATACTGAAGAGGCATTCTATAGGTATTCATTAACACATGATTAAAATTTACTTGTTTTTGTTATTAAATATATTAGCCTTTGACAGTCATTTTGTAAATGCAAATTTTTAGCTTAACTATATTTCAAAGGATAACTCAGGAATGTTTAGCCCCCCCCCTTGTCATTTTGGGGAACCGTAGTTTAATTCAATAAAACTTGCTTTTATTTTTTTTTTTTTTTTTCTTTTTCTTTTTGTGTGCATGTTATTAAATAGAACTAGTGTTGTCATTGTATATTTGGATGTATAGGGTCTTGCAGATTATTTCTTGGGGGGAAAAGTATCTCAAAAAGTAACTGTACCAGGTTTTTTTTTTTTTTTTTTTTTTTTTTTGTAAAAATGAAAACCTGTATTAGAACTTAAATATAAATTGACTCCTTGAATTTTTAGAGGTTTAAGGCTTTTGTTAATCATTGATTAAAACAATTTTCCCTCCAACACTTGTACCATTTTAAGATGAAGCAGGTGAACCTGGGCACAACTTACTATGCAAAAAGATATTTTAGATTAAAGAAATTTTCTTTTTTTTTTTTTTTTTTTTTTTTTTTTTTTTTTTTTTTTCATCTAAAATTGCTTATGCTATAACTGGGAAAGAGTTAATCAGTTTGTTGCGAACTTGAAAATTTCATTTCCAAGTAGAATTATTTGCCTTTTTATGGGATGTACATTTCCTAACATTATTGGTACAAGTTGGAAACTACAGTTTTTATATACAAGAAATCAAATCCTTTACATTTTGATATTACATTTGCAGATTCTGTCTTGAACATTGACCAGTTCAAGCCTTTAATTGCATAACATTTTATTCCAATTTTAAACACATTTTGATAAATTTATAAAATTTACTAGCTTCTTCAGCTGGTAAAATTTTATCAATATAGAGCTAATTTTGTATTTAAAGAAAATGTAGAAATCTGACTCTTGGATCTCATTGAAAAATAGTGAAAACTTATTTGGTTTGATTTTGAAATTTTTTTTTTTTTGTGGACTGTATAATTTCACTTTGTGCTTAAGTTCTAATAGCATCTTAGAAGTATTTCATCTGTAAATACTTCAAGGATTAGTATTGTATATGTGTAGGATAAACCAAATTTTATAAAGTAGTTACTTTTGCATATGAAAAAGGAACTTCAAAATTTGAATTGACTTGTTTCTAGATGCTTTAGTCATTTACTTCATTTATTAAAGCTCCTGAAAAAGGGATGCTGCTTTAAAAAAACAAAACAGCTTGTGGCTTATTTAAATGACCTGTTAGTGGTCACTCTGAAAATATCTAATTTAGTGAAAGGAACAATTTTACTTCTAATTATTCAAAATAGAAATTGACCTGTAAAATGAAGTCTTTGTTAAATTTCAAAAGCATTTTGTGTTAATGTATATCAGTAGGATTCTACAAATGTAAAGTAAAATTGTTACAGTTGAAGAGGTTGTCAGTCTTAGATATTGTGCATACTAAAGCAGTGCAAAACAGTTTGTTTACAGTTCCAACTTTCTAGTTTACTATTAAAATGTTACATTAAGTACAGAATTTTAAATACTTATTTTATGTCAAATTTCAAGTGCTAAATTCTTTTATTGGAAACTAGTATAAAGTATTGATCTTTTTGCTCCTGCTAATTTAATCTGAAGCTGAGAAGTTTGCAAAAATTTTAATGTACCCTGAACACTTTAGAAAAATTATAGGTACATGTGAAATGTTTAATGAGGAAAACTGATGAACTACTGTCACTTCTAAATTTAAAACCAGATGCAGTTGCTACTAATTAGTAGCTAGCTGCTGGTTTTAAAGATTTTTTTTTTTTTTTTAAAACTTTGTCAATATTCCTTTCAAATGTTGATGCATATCAGTCTTTTAAAACTACTTGAATCTTTACAAGTTAGTTCTCTATTTATAAAATTACAATGAAATATCAAGATGTGAAAAGCAATATGGGATCTTATTCAATATTTTTTTGTTTTTATAATTATGCAAGTTATACTTTTCAAAATTAGGTGACAATTTAAAAAATGCAAATGCTTACTGTTTATAGCTTTTGACTTATTTTACGAAATTCGTATTACAATTCTCAAATAGCACCTGTAAAAAAAAAAAAAAAATTGCTCTTCAAACATTGATTCACTGGTTGCTTATACTCAAACTGATTTTAGTTTGACATACAAAGCCTTTTTGCTTGTACTCTTGAAGTTACACATGGTTAGAATCTTATTTTTGACATAACTTATCTGAACTACTTAATATTGTTAGTATGATTTGATGAAGAGCTCTTAAATTTGTGTTGCCTAATGGTAGTACTATTCAATGTAACATTTTCATCTCGTACATTTTTTTTAATTGTGACATTCAAGTTATGAAGCCTATAATTTTGTGCATTGAAGCATAGATTTTTGACTTTGACATTTTATTCAAAATGTACCCAAGCCCCTCAAAACTTTGAGCTGAGTACTTAAATTTTATACTGAATTTAATAGTTTGGTATTTGTACACAAGCTGTGTCACACAGCAGTGTTTAATATACCTTATCCATATTGTACATATATATATATATATATATATGAGTAGAAGTTTGTCACTTAGCTGATTGCTGTTACCATCAGCATCTTGACTTTCGAGCTTCATAGACAGACCTGTCTGTAAAAACACTTATGAAGCTGTGTAACATTTAAAGATATTTAAAATCATGGATAGTCTTTTTGAATAGCCATGTAAATCTTCAATTTTTTTTTTCTTTTTTTAAATGCTTAATAAAATGTTTAACCTATACCCTATGAATAATGATGGGTTTGCATATGACCTTGACGGCTTGCTTCAGATATTAGTGCCTTATAATTTATTTGGCCGGCCAGCTGTCTGTAAGCTATTGCATCAGATTGACAGGCAATGTTTCAAGAAAATGTTCTGTTTTGTATTGGCAATGCTGTTTTGTGCAGGTAATTTTCCCTCAATTATTTGAATAAAATTTAAAATTAGTTTCTCATAAAAAATGTATATGTTGTATTTTTAAATAATGGTAATATAAAATCTTGTAGGATTATAATTATGAATTAGTTGATGAAATATAAGTTGTGGGAATTTGTTTGGCTGTGTAAATTCATGGTGCATTTTTTTGGTGGGGTGGGGGAATAACTGGTGGATTAAAAAAAAAAAAAAAAAAAAAAAAAAAAAAATTGAGATTTATGAAAGACCTGCATATTTTGGTCTGAAATTTGTCTAATTCACAGCCATCTTCATGCCTGCAGTTGAGCAGGATGTTGAATTAGCTTTATATTTCTTAAAATAACCTTTTGTGAAAGATTGATTCACAAATAACTTTTAATACATCTTTAATGTTAATTGCCCCTAAAGAATGCACATAGTTTTGATTTGATCTACCACTAGCTTTTTGAACATAATTTCTACTTTTAAGAAAATGATCCTAATCTACTGACAATGCATTGCTTTCAAGAGTTGACTAGAATTTATATTGATCAGTTGAGAAATTGCCCAACTAGTGGCTACATAGTTATGCTGCTGGTGAGTCCCACATGGCATTAATATCTGAAACCTTTTATACTAATAAAGTCTTTTATTTCAGCATATTTTCTATAGCGCTTAATGACTGGGCTCCGATTCCCAGTCACCTGTTTTATTTATATGCGTCATTCCTATAATGCAATCTTCTCTCCCTTGCTCTCACTCATTCTGATAATGATATGCCCTTTTAACTTGAACAGCGTCAGTCTCGCTACGATCAACCTGGGGATAACAACTTTGGAGGTTCTGACAATTACGGGTCAGCAGGAATGGGCAGCAGTCCCGCTAGTGCCATGGGTGGCGGTGGCGGCGGTGGCCCACCTATCAGTAGTGGTCAGATGGGTGGTGGACCCAACGGTCCCCCCAGCTTGTTCAATTCCAATATGGGAGGAAACATGCCTGGGTCTGGCAACAGTGGAATGCGTGGAGGCGGAGGTGGTGGTGGTGGTGGTGGTGGCGGCGGCGGCGGCGGTGGTGGAGGAGCCGGCAACAATGCAGACAGAGGTAACATGATGGACAGGCAGAGAGAATCTAGCAGAGAAGACTATGCTGAGATGAAAAGGATGCGACGATATTAAGATTGCTCTATCTACACCCATGCCATTTAATATTTTGACAGTGATTCATTTATCCAACTTTTACTGTAAATGTATCAACTATTATTCCTGAAGGACTTATATCATGTAGTGGACAATAGTCAAAAAAAAAAAAACCTGAAAAAAAAGCAAAAAAAACAAAAACAAAAAAAAACAAAAACCAAACAAAAACCAAAAAACAGACCATTTCTTGTTGGTTGTCATCATCTTTGTGCTCTTCATATAAGTGTTTGACTGACTGGATCTTTTTTTTTTTCTTTTTTTTTTTTTTTTTTTTTTTTTTTTTTTTTTTTTTCTCTTCCTATCTCCATAGTCCAAATAAGGATTTCATCATCATGGCTCTGATTTGTCATCTACATTTCGACTTACCGTCTAATAAACATTGTGACCTTATCATGAATCTTGTGCCTGATTTTAACTAATTTGTCTTTTGTCTTGAAGTTGTTTTATCTGAGCAAAAATATCAATTGGCTGTCACAGTGGTTTTTCAGTTTGAACACTGTGACTGCAATTGATTATACTCTGGGCGGTTTCACTTATGATATTACAACTTGTGTTGGCAATGACTCCATCTAACTATTGCAGCATTGTCATTACCTCACATAGCACTCTGCAACTTGGACTCCTCAATACAGAACTTGTAGCATTTAAAGCCAAGCAATCTTTTAGAAAATGTATTTATGCACAATTTTTGGAAAAGCCTAAGCATTGGAATAAAATTTAGCATTGGTTAAGTTAGTAAATTTCTTTGACTTGGTCAAGAATTTTTTTTTTTTTTTTTTTTTTTTTTTTGAACATTGTTGTATTTGGTCTTTTCAAATTTATGAATACTTCCTATTGTATTTTAATAGGTTTTAAACCTTACATTAAATTCTCTCTTCTATTTTGAATTTTTATATTTAGTTTGGTATGCTCAAAGTGGATGGTAAGGAATGACACTCTCTCAACTTACTGTTAAGGTTTAACTAATTTAAAATAAAGATGAAACTAAACTTTTTTTATAGTTACTTGAAATGATTAAATTGAAAATTACTTGATTTGGTTGGGCTATAACTAAAAAACTTTAGTTAAATGCTATATAATGTTATAATGTTGAGGTTCTTTTAATCTATTGATAACTGTTGAAAATTCATGATGTGCTTATTATGACTTGGTTGTTTTTAATAATACCAATTTGTGTGGGATGGACAACAAGCAGCATATTAAATGGCAGCTAGGAAAATACAACATTAATGAAACTGATACTTAGATGCTTCCATGTATGATAACCTATAAGTCTATAATTTGTTAAAAGTAATTTAACAAATTATTGTATTGCTAGAGAAGTGAAAGAAAAAAAAAAGGGAAATGGTTAGTAGGCTGGTCTTGGTCAGTTACAACTGAGTGAGGAGTTTGATCCTCACTAAGTGCTCGATATTTTTGGCCTTGTACAACATGTAAACTATGCTTAGTCCTTGTACCCTTAGTAAATTGGTATTCTTTAAAAACTGTTAAGCATTTTAAATTTCAAAACTAAACATCCGATTTGTGAGTAAATGTAAAGAATTCTTCTATTGGATAATTTTTGTAAAATTAATGAAGAGTTTAGCTGAAGTTTTTATTTTTCAAGTACATCTGTTTCCACATCCATCAAGTGTCATCTCACCATTTTTCATTGAGCATAACTTATGACTACTAAAATATATTTTTTTGTCATGGCAAATGAGGTTTTTAATTAGTTTAATTGATGCTAAGTATGGACATGAAATCTGCTAAAAATAAACCCCATTCCTCATTTTATTATGTCTTGTGTATTTAATGTATTTAAAAAATTAGTGAAAGTCAGATTTTTGATGAGGACAAAGTGGGAATATGGGAAAAACAATTGTTTGTGAAGTTGAAGCCCCTCTTCCTATACTTATTCCATTCTTGTAATCTGAAAAATTTTTGATTTTTCTGATGTGATGTCTTATTTCGATTTACCTGTGAATACAGGATCTCTTAGTGATCATATTTGTTCAATTTTATTTTCTTTTTTTTCTTTTTAACACTTGGTTATAATTTTAATTAACATATTTCCTTGATTGCAAGCTATCTATACAAAAACCATTTATTAAAAGTTGTAAAGAGGAGTAGGAAAGCAGTTCAACAAAATGTGAGAAAAATTCACATTGATAAAAAATGACTGCATATCATGTATATTATTGTATGGTAATTGGATCTTAAAGATCCTGCTTTTTGGCATTTAATTTTTTTTCTTTTCCCTTAGTGATGATTTATTTAATGTTTATTGCTACTGGGCAGAAATTGGAGATTTTCAAAGTTTCTGTCAATACAAACTTTATTCACTCTGCTTGTTATTGTCAATGTAGGGCTTGTACTTTGTGCTGTTCTTAACAAAAAAACTGCAGTTTTTGTCATTCATTCTGTTACAAATTGGGTATAATCAGGTGGGTTCCTTTCTTTTGCCACTCCCCCCACCCGGCATTTGAGAAAAACTTTACCCTTTTCATACAGATTGCACACTTGAAGACTAGAATGAATTTGGCAGTCCTAGTAAAAAGCAATGTGTTTTTTTTTTTTTTTGTTTTTTTACTTGAAGTATGTGTATTTAGGGGTTAAGATTCACTCTTACCTACTGAAAAAAAAATTGTTTTAAGTAAAGATCACAATTGTTTGATATGATTTAATGCTCTTTTTGTTATGGAGTCTTCAGTCTTTGATATTTTTTAATATCAGTCAGGTGTTAATTTTTGGCAGGTTTTCATGCCCAACACTTATGTATTTTTTGTATAACTGAATTTGTCCTGGTGCTTTTGAATTTTTTCAGTTGACAAATTTAGTAATCTCTTGTATTGAGTTACAACAGGCTTGTATATAACTATGAAGTTAGGCAATTGCTAGCCACAGTGATTAACTTTTTAGAATGCATTTAGAAACTTAAAGGATTTTTTTCTTCCTTTTGCTGTGTAACTATTTTTAAAATCAACATTTAACTTTAATGAATTTTGATGTTTTAATTTGAATTGTTTAGATTTTCTGGTTAAAAATATTTTCCTTTATGTAGGAATTTATTTCTCATTTTCTCAATTATAGAAATATTGAAAGTCTTTCTGTGCTAATAAGTTAATTGCCATGACATTTTAATTAGGGAATTAGTCTGAATTTGATTTAATTTTCGGTTATCTTTTCATTATAGAAACTCTGGAATTTACTTTGAATTTGCTTTTCATGACATTCTTTAATTAACATTCTTAACTTATGAAAGCTGTAATGGATGCATTTTAAGTTCACTTGTCTTTGTAAGGTCTTATTTTTCATGGTAAATTATATTAATATGTATATTTTCGGTTGGGAATGTTTGAAGTAGTCTTGATTTCTTTTCTACTGCAAAGATGTTACATTGTACTTGTCTAGTCCAAGACTTGTAATTGATAAAAATTGAAGTATAACTTTTCATGTAACCTCATAAAAAAAGACTTTTGGGATTTTGCACTTACCTGAAAACATAAGTACATTTTTTTTTTTTTTTTTTCTTTTTTTCTTTTTCCTTCTGAAAATGCACTGGGATTGGATGGTGGGATGGATTATTGCCCTAAGACCTGAATTTCATTAAATATCATCAGTTATTGTTGCATAACCTAGTTTCCTTTTCAAAATGACTAATACATTTGTGGATTTTATTCCCTATTTGCCGTAACTGGTTTCTTTTACTACTAGTGGGGTGTGGAGGACCTTAGGAACTTTACCCTGAATTAAAAAAAAAAAAAATGCTTTAAAAGATTGTACAGTGTTACTTGGCTGAAGTATACTTAATGAAATTCAGTAAGGAGCATTAGTACTAGACTGAATAACACCTGGGAGTGTGCCGAGATGTGACTGCATTCACAGTAATGTGATGAACATGGACTAGAACTAGCAAACATCCTGCAGGATTCTGATGTGGTAAGTATAGGAATCAGTTGGGTAAATTTGTTTGTTATATGGTAAACAAGGTGGTGTGTTGAGTTTTTTTTTTTTTTTTTTTGTAATAGGAAAAAAAAATGCATTACTTTCTTGTATATAAAGAATTACTGAATTCTTTAAATATTGTCTTCAAGGAAAGTTTTTCTAAATCTTGTGTGGCATATAACTAAACAAATTAATTCTCACCACTGAATTGAATATCTGGTAGGTATTGGAATTTTCATCTGTAATTAGCTAATACATGCTCCATTCTGAAATTTCCAAAAGTCTAAATCTCCTCCCAACTTCTATGCTAAGTATCATCTATAGTTTTTATTCCATTACTATGATCTATTTTCTTCCCCTAACATTGATAATTTGAAGTAATACTATGGAAACTTATTCTGTAGCAAGATTACAGTGTATTGTTATATCTGAATCTTGCAGTGCTTGGTTTACTGCAAACTTTTAGTTGTGAATTCTTGTACCCAAAATGTCCAGATTTTCAATAGTCAATATGAAAAATTTGACTTAAGATTTTTTTTTTACAAACTTACAGCTACCGTATATACCAGCATACAAGCCTTTTTAACCCCTCTCTCATAAGCTTAAATTCCAGAATAGTCACATTTACTGTGAAATTTATATAATCAGTTTGTGGATGGAATTAAGTCCTTCAAGTCAATATTGAATATCTAATATCTATAAAGCTTTTTAATTTTAAATCCAGATGGAGTGCTAACATTAAATTATTTCCACTCAAAATTTTTCTTTTAGTATTATAGCTTTTCTACTGGAAGACTTTTTAAAACATTTTCTTTATTCCTGGTAACCAAAAAAGGCAGGGCGTGAAATAATGATGGGCTTCAGACATTTTAATATTTCTTTATCAAATGCCAAAAAGTGCCTGAGATCCCTGTTAAATTGTCTATATTTTAATTTGAGTGTAAATGTTGCTGTTCTGTTTGATTGTAAGTTATACTAAATCTAGTAGTATAAGATTTCTATTTCCATTTAGAATTTATTAAAAAAAAAAAAAAATAGCTTGCTTCTATTAT